TTTATTGCGTGAATTGTTAATCCACTCACGCGAAAAAGCAAGAAAAAGACCAAGTTGAAAGCAAAAATACGTAATGCTGGTTTGCAAAACATAAGCTTTTCAATAAATTAAGTTTAGAATCAAGGAAATAAAAGTAGAATTATATATGAACACAGCCTCGTAAGCAATGAGAACTGTAAGAATTTCCATATACGAGGTTCTCGGGGAAGGCCGGTTTGTACGCGACCCGAAATGATCCCCGACCCCAAATGATCCCCAAAATCGACCTAAACACGACCCGAAACGATCCCCGACCTCAAATGATCCCCAATTTTTTTCACACGCGACCTGAAATGATCCCCGAGCAGTTATAGGAGTGGAATAGGAAAACATTTCTATCTCGGGGATAAGATAAAAGCGTTTTAATTCGGTTTTAATAGGTACCGACAGGAAGCGAAGACTGTTACTTGTTACAACAAGGCCCGGTGTAAACATTGCATTTGACATGTGCCAAATTTAATTCAGGTATTGAGTGCGTAGGAAGTTTGGCGTTTTACTAAAATTAAATTCGACAACGAGACTTCTGTTGCATCTTCGAGTGAGCCAGTCAAATCTCGACAGAAGTTCAACCGTTGTCTATTGTGCCGAATCGAATTTTTAAATCAGACTCGCCACATGTGAAATTTGACGTTTAAACCGGGCCTAACGAGATGCTATTTGCACGATTAAACCTTCAATTTAAACTCTAAAGTTCCTTGCAAAATTCGTTAAAAAGGAGTCGCGTGTGAAAAAATTGGGGCATCATTTGGGGTCGGGGATCATTTCAGGTCGTGTTTAGGTCGATTTGGGGGATGATTTGGGGTCGGGGATCATTTCGAGTCGCGTACAGATTTTATCCAATTTGTAGAGCTTTGTATGGAGACGCCATGTTGATGTCCCGATGAGGGACGCCAAATGGTGGCCAAAAACATTTGATATAATACAACTCTTGAAATCATCACTCAAAGAACTACAGACATAAAAGTCGTACTTATTTATTGACAAAGACTGTTCAGATAGCAAAATCTCCAAATTTTAGTCTTGTTTTTAGCCTTCATGACAGTTTCCCTATTTTTTTTTCATGAAGTCTGCGTCGAGCAAAAGCTTAGGCATCTTAACGTACTCTAACACAAAATGAATAACCCTTTCGGTTGCAAATTTGTAAACATATTAGTGCTGAGCTTCTTAATACTGCTTAATTGACTATTTTCCAATTGCCAATAATACACGCTGATTGCCCCCCAAATTTTGCATAACTTATTGTCTTAAAATGCTCTTGGGAAAATGCAATACTCCCAGGAGCATTTAAAAACAATGGTTTATGCAGAATTTGGGGGGCAAACAGAGTGTATTATGGGCAATTGGAAAATAGAGAATAGTCCAGTTTCGAGTTCACTATGGCCGCTGAATAAAAGAAGTGAAGACGCATTTTTTTACAGCGTTAGCCTCCATCTGAAGTAACATATTCATAAATTCCAACGAGAAAAAGACCTGTTTATTACTCTGTCTATTGTGTATATTCAAATTTCAAACACTAACTTGCCAGAATTTCTGAATATTTTACTTTATGTCGAGGCTGACCCTGTATAAATGTGTCGTTAATGTTTGTATTCAGCGGTAATTTTTAATTCGAAACTGGACTATTCCTCAAGTAAAAAGTAAAAATGATTATTTGCTCATGCGCAATGTCATTTAAGTGTGTTGGCTGCAATTAATATTCGATTTTAAGCTTGTTTTTAATTTGAGCAGACGCGTTCAGTTACCATATTTGGAGAGCCTGGTATAAATGGTTCATATACCATGATGGCTAATACAATTAGAGCTTTAGAACTGCATTATACAATGATTCAGGTTTTAATAATTGTAATTCTGCTGAACGGATATGGAGTGTCTTTTACTTTCTGTGCTACTGGAGCCATTTCGATTCCGTACTGTAAGAAAACTTGAAATCGAAAACTCGCCAAAACAGTTTCTAGTAGAGAAATGATGTCGTTCTAAGGCACAACTAATTATAATTATGATCACAAGGCCTGAATTTCCCCACCTACATCCCAACAACAACCAACCTCGTCCCCAGGGCTTTTCCCTTAAAAAAGGGAAAAGCCCTGGGGACGAGGTTGAACAACAACCTTATCCTCTGAAAACTGTTTCCAGCATTTAATAATACTCTGCAACTTGGAAAAGTAAAATGCTGGTCGATGTATGTAGATTAAGAATTCAGCCACATGGTGACTGCACGAAATTCAAGGGAATCGATCATTCAATTTTATGATTTGAAAATAAAAGAAAGCTAAGAAGTGCTGCATGTCGCTTACACCGGTATCTTGGATTCAGCAACAACGCCAACGATCGCCAAAAAGGCATTAAGTCCACGAAACATATTTTGATCGTCTGGGCAAAAGGGGACTTTCTGTATTTTTTGCAGTTCATCTTCTGTAGTAATATCCGTCAAACAAGGTTAACCCTCCAGTCCCATACAATCTTCTTTTTTTTGTTCACTGCCCTTAACAGCATAATCGATCTTCAAAATAAATAATTGCTCAAGTTAAAGCAGAACTGAACAAAGTAACTGCCTTTGAGCAAAATGGAATACAATGTGGGTTATCAAAGCTAAATGCTTTTCCGTATAACGCGCACTTAATTACCCTGAAGACGATTAGTTGTGTCAACACTTCCACAGTTAACAATGATTCCAGCAAGTGATAAAATATCTGGACTATAAAAATAACACAATAACTTTAGTGTATTTTCTGTTGATCCGCAATCGATGTCCTTCTTATGCCACGCCCTTTGTAAATGCGGAGCAAAAGTGTATCAAAACAAATCATCGATTTTCTTTTTATAGATCTTTCATTTATAGAAGGAGCGTGTTATGGTTTCCATGTTACCCAGCCTCGTTCAATGACCTTTCGACGAAGCAATCGAGATCAGAGTGGTCAACAGGTTTTAAAGATGGCCCACAGAATTAAAGAAAGGTATGCGCGATCGTGATGCTGCCAAAGTAAAAGCTATGGCATCGAATAATCCACGCGACTGGGCAAAGTACAAAAAGTTGCGAAATACAATAAACAATAACATCAAGACTTCTAAAGCGTCTTATTATTCTCATGCTTTTAGTTAATCTAAAGGTAATTCTCGAAAAACATGGCAAACCATTAACGACCTTACTTCCCGTCGCACCAACAGTACAACGGTGAAAGAATTGAAGTTGAATGGTTCCATTATTTCTAATTCTAGCGAGCTTTCTAATGCTTTTAATGACCATTTTTCAACAACTTGGCCCCACCTTGCCAATCAAGGTCCACCAAATGATAATAATGATGATTTAAGTTATTTCAATAATATAAATGTAAATCACCCCAAGTTCAGTTTTTCTTCTACAAGCAGTAGTATTGTTTTCTCACATCTAAAAACATTATGTACATCCAAAGCAACAGGTCTTGATAACATCTCTGCTATAATAATGCGTGAATGTGCAGATCTGATTTCAGTTTCTCTGTGTGATCTCTTCAATAAATCTTTACTCTCTGGTATATTTCCTGACGATTGGAAACGTGCTAGCGTTACTCCGTTGTTTAAGCAAGGTGATGCATCTGATCTAAATAATTATCGACCTATTTCAGTCATTTCCGTCAGTATAACTAAAGTTTTCGAAAGGATTGTTTATTACCAATTGTATATTTTTTTGAGCAATGAAGATATCATTTCTACACATCAATCGAGCTTTCGCTCTTTACACTGAACTGTAACTGCTCTCCTTGAAACTACCGATAACTGGGCCTTTAATATTGATCGTGGTAATGTTAATGCTGTGGTTTTTCTTGATCTAAAGGAGGCATTTGACACTGTTGATCGTGATATCATTTTATCTAAAATGAACCTTTAGGGATCGGTTTATATCGTATTTGACAAATTGTACACAATGATGTCTCGTTAATGGTTCCCTTTCTAGAATCTGCTCACTTAAATGCGCGGTACCTTAGGGAACAATTCTTGGTCCCTTTTTATTTCTTATTTACATCACGATTTGCCAAATTGCCTAACTTCATGCCACCCTAGGATGTATGCTGATGACACACACATCACTTATGCAGATGTTGATGTAAATTCAATACAGTTAAATTTGAATCACGATTAAGGTAATCTAAACAAATTAGACTAAATGGCCTATTTCCAACAAACTTACTTTTGAACACTGCTAAAACTGAATTTATGCTAATTGGATCAAGACAAAAACTGAGTGATTTGTCGGGCCCACCCGAGCTCCCGATTGATAATGTTCCGATAGAAAACGTTACCTCTGTAAAATCGCTTGGAATATTTGTTGATGAAAATCTACGATAGCAAACGCACATCGATAAATTATCTAAAAAGATCGCGTCCGGGATAGAAGCAATTAAAAGAATTAGAGATTTTGTTCCAACGCGTACTCTCCATTGTATATACAACGCTCTCATTCAATCTCAATTCGATTCTTATAATATTTTCTGGAGTAACTGCGGAAAAAACTTTCTTTGACAGGCTACAGAAGCTTCAGAACCGTGTAGAACAGATGTAAATTTTATACCGCCGATTACAATGTATTTCTAAAGATCTAAAAATACTCTGAATAGCCAAAAGGTGCTTTCAATGCATTTAGGAGGAAAACGCCGTTGGGCGCCCCTGAATTATCATGATTATCATTAACCATTCTAATTTTTTTTATAATTATCATTATTATTTTTGACACTATTGGATTAAAAGTAACATTAGTCTAGTTATAAACTCATTCAAATTGTTATCAGGAAGAAAATTTAAAAAGATACCTGCCTTAAAATGGCCGAATTATGATGTCTGTTACCGTCACAATGCTTGATCTCACAATATATTTTTTTAATACACTCTGTCGATCATGGTCGTAAAAAATCAGCTTTATTTTTGTTCACCCATTCTAATATACACGTTTCAGCATTTTGTTCGATATACCCCTAGAATTGTACATTAGTTAGATACAATAATATAACAAAAAATTCAACAGAATATCAAACAACTATCCCGGTATATGAAATTCTTAAAACTACATGGATGCTTGGTCACTTTTGGCAAACCAGTATAGGACAGTTAAATTAAGAACCGTTCATGAAGCAACTTCGAATAATAACAAAACGACAGGAAAAAAGGCTATTCACTTGCTCATCAACTTTACAAACTCTGCAATAAAAGAGAGAAATAAAAGAACATTAAGAGGAAAGCAAATCATCACTCGGGAGCTTATATAAAGCACAACTCGAAGCTAATTTTTGGCTGTCGTCTTTTTTACTTCTTTTAATTTTCGACTTTCTTATGACCCCAAACTTGAAGTTGAATGTGAATGACAACTTGTTTAAATACTTTAACTTAGCAGCTGCTCAAATACGACATTAAAGTAAAATCTCAGTAGGATCCATAGTTTTGTGATCTGAATTTTAGTGACGTCACGTAAAAATTAACAATTATAGCGAGTATGTCTCCCTTCTATTGCTGTAGTATTTTCTTTCAATGTAGCTGTGGCCCTAAGGAAGGCTCATGTTGTTAACCGTAGTATTGGCCCCACGGATTAATCAGCCCTTTGCCTTTGCATTCAGTTTTGTTTTAGGACGGAAGCCACCACGAAATTGAGTAATTTTAATTTTCATTGGACAAAAACCTTGTACCATACTAATTTAAAGAACATTGCATTCTTTTTTACATTTTTTAAGGGCTAAAGACGTAATAAATCATCTGTAGTAACACCAAGGAGAATTTCTCATGGAAGTCCGAGAAAATGAAACTCAAATTTCACAAGAATTGTGATTACACAGGTAAAATTCTGAGAATTTCGTGTAAGATGTAATTTTGTGAAATTAAATATTTATTTTCTCGGGCTCCCATTAGAACTATTTTTGGTGTTACTACAGATGATTTATTATATCTTTAGCCCTTGAAAAATGTAAGAAAGAATGTAATGTGCTTTAAATTATTCTAGAACAAGATTTTTGTCCACTGAAAATCAAAATTACTCATAATGTCCTAGTGGATTCTGTCTTAATTCCATTTTCAAATACTTTCTGCGTATCGCATGAAACGTATAAACAAAAAATAATCTATGGTCAGACAAAGTTTAATTATTCTGCGTGAATCGCGTTCTTTCAAAAACACTTACCTTCATAACTGATTTTTCCATCTTCATCTAAATCCGTTTCTTTCATCATCTCTTTCACATCCTCGTCGGTCAGATTTCGTCCCAACTTGCTCGACACTTCCTTTAACTCAGAAGCACTGATAAAGCCACTGTTGTCCTTGTCAAATACCTTGAAAACATCCCTAAGTTCCTCTTCATTAAATTCTTCCTCCTTCTTTCTTTCTTTCATCATTTTAAGGAATTCCGACCATTCAATTGTTCCACTGCCTGGTAAAAACAATTAGAAACTGCTAAATTACAATACAGTTTAACCTCGATTTAACGAAGCAATCGATATAACGAACGATATTCTCTGCCTCAGTTATGGTAGAATATACAGAAAAGAACATCGATAGAACGAAACTTCGTTTTAAGCAAACTATCTGCTGGCCAGTCCCTTGGCCTTTCGTTAAATCGAGGTTCCACTGTAACAGTTATAACAGTAAGTGAATCAAGAGAGAATAATGAGATAGTCTAGCCTCTGGGATATGTGAATTAATTTCAATCTGAAATTGGTTTCCGTACTGGGAGAGGTCGCCCGAAGACTTTTATTCAATGTTGTCAATAGAGAGGAGAGGTATGACGTCACGTTACCATGGTAGAGAAATGTTTGGATCACAGCAAAAGGGAGCTTAGTCAACAACGACGGCAAAGGCGACGACAACGGCAAAAAAGGCAATAAATTTATATGAGTAAATAACAACTGTGCACGTGCATGACGCTTTTTTGCACATTTTATAGCCATCGTTGCACGACTGCGACAAGAAACTTCTAATTTCACGCTCCCCGCTTTGCGAAGTAGATGAACACAACACAGAAAGTTTCTTCTTCTTTTTCTTTCGGATTCAATCCAGAAAATTTCGCCAACATTAATTTGACAAATTAAATGAAACTGAATAAGATCGATGAAGTTTGAAACAGTTCGAATTTACTTTTTATAAGTGAAGTTTCGGTTTGTTGTCATCCAAAAATGTTTCTACCATGGCAACGTGACGTAACGACTTCTCCTCTCTATAGACAGAATAATGGGGCATTACTTCCCTATGCTCTCTTGGTGTGTCACCATTACAAAATTCTGCATTGCGTGCTTTCAGGTTTTCAGGATTAAGATATGCGGACGTCCAAGGAATTAGACTTCCGTTATATTGAATAATGAAGAAAAGCACGTGAATGGAAGAAGGCATCAGACAATTATCAAAAGAAGGTTCTGGACGAGGGATTGAGATCTAAGTTATCTTATCTCAGTCATCTCAAGGAAGAACTTCGAAACACTCACAAGAACACCAGGGAGGAATGCTCGTTCATTCGCTGCATTGCAATCATACGGATACTGAACACAGTGCGACAGAACCAATATGATGAAATGATGAAAAGCCATGTTAGCAAGACTTCTCGCTTATTATCAAAGAAGTTTGACGTGAACGACCATATTAGCATCATATCTTCGTATCTTTGAAAGGCCTGTTCATTCTGCGGGATAATGAAATTTTATCTGCCTCAAAAAGTCGCTCCAACTGAAATCAAAGCTAACTTTTAGAAAGCCTGTCGGAAAATTGAGCCACTTTTGAAAGATGCTAACGATAACGAGTTAGCAAGTTCAACATCACTTTCCATGTCTTTGAATTACATTCAGCGCTCAAGCCCTTCTCCGGTCCATCTAAAGCTCTCGTGAAAGTGCTCGATCGCTTAAAGAAACTTGAGAACATTGTTGTTACCAAACCTGACAGAGGTTCTGGAATTGTAGTCATGGCCAAATCTGAATATGTCCGTCTTCTAAGCGCAGCTTCTATCGATGAATAGGAAATGCTACAAAATTTGCACGCATTGATGACAAACGCCCAAAACGGGGCGGGGCCGCCCATAGAAAAGTGAAGTGGATGAACGTCGTCTCGCTTTGGGGTGTAAATTGCAGATTTCGGTCTTAGTTAGGGTGTTTGCGATGTAAAGTTACTATTTGCCCATCCAGGTATCGCTTAGTACTGTGCATAAAGAAATTTTCAAAAAATGCCCTGACACTGACAACACAGAAATCTCCCCTAGGGGTTAGTTTAAACTTGAGCCACGCCCACATTAGATCCCCTTCAGGGGATTTAATTTGAATTTTTCTACGAGCATCCTCGTCGCTTTTAGATGGGAGTCCCCCGTATGCCCAAACCTTCGTGGACGACCCCGAACCACTTTCACCTACTTCTTCGGAAATAGAAAGATGTACATTCAATCCTACATTAAATACTGCCTGAAGACATTGTCACTTCCCTTTCTTCTTGTCCCATCTTTATGGGCTTCCCAAGACACACAAAGTCAAAAAAATTGAGTATGAGACCAATTTTATCCCCCACCGGAACTTACAACTTTAACCTGGCTAATTGGCTTGAAGAAACTAATCGAAACCACCTTCTGTAAACTAGTACGCTATTACTGTTGCGTTTGAATTTGCTGATGAGATTTGTTCCATTCCTTCGTATGAAGAAGATATACTGGTCTCTTATGACGTGAAGGCCCTTTTAGCAATATACCTCTAAGTGAGACTATTAACATCCTGGTCGACAAAGCCTTTACCAATGATCTTAATCTTGAGAAACAGGAACTTACACAACTGTTTGATGTTGTAGCCACCAATCAACTTTTTTAGGTTCGATGGTCATTTGTATGAATAGATTGACGGTGTATAGCGATGGGCTCTCCTCTTGGCCTCCTAATGGCCAATGTGTTTTATGTGCCACCTCCAAGAAAACTCTTGCTAGAATGCCTGCCACCCGATGCCGACGCTGACTTTCTCATTACATCGAATGCTCTACGCCGTCCCGAGCCTGAATTACAATGGCCGAAACTTCCTACTGATAACAAGATCCCGTTCATTTGAAATGAGCTATAAGAATAGTCTAAGAATAGAAAAGATTTTGAAACCCGTGATTACAGAAGGCGGACCAACAGACTGTTCTGCTCTTGCATTTTTAAAGCCATGTAAACAAACGTTACAAAACCGGTTTATTTAAGACCATTTTACATCGCGCCTATGCTCTATCATCTACGACAAAAGCCTTTAGTCAAGAATGTGCCAAGGTACGCTCTTTCTTCTGCCGACTTGATATCCAATCTAAAGCTCTCTATTGACGTCCGAAAACGTCGAAACGTCATATAATTTTTAACTGTTTTAAAAATTTCTTAAAATATTTTGAAGAAATTAAAAGTTTTGAAGAAATTTTTTAAAGCTAAATGCTTTATGAACTCTGGGAAATTTTCATACAGTCAACTCTCCCACAGCGACCGCTTCTTGTAAGCGACCATCCTTCGTGCGTAAGCGACCACTTTGTATAGATAACCGTCTTGTTTCTCAGTTAAACACTGTTTTAAAAACTCTCTCGTAAGTGACCACTACTTAAAAGACCGCGACCGCTTTTATAACCAGAAATTCAACATTATTCTATTCTTTTCTTTTTCTCGTATTAAAGTGACCCTGGCATGATCATGTATGATTGTAGGAAAACCATTGCAGCTCAAATTTCACAAAAGTTTAGTTTTAAAAAGCGCTGCGGATCCCTGAAAGCAGTTAACTTTAAAGAGGGTTGCTGTGATACGATCTGTAGGGAAAAAATGGGGATTGTAACATTGCTGCAATACTGTTATGTACAAAATTTCAACATTTCCAAGCGCTGTTCGATGTGAACCAGTGTGGCCAGTTGTTTGTTTGCCTTAGTTTTAGCTTGTTAGGTAATAACTTTATGTAATCACGTTCATCAGTTCAATTTGAGCATATTCTCTTGATTTTCCCTTGGATGACCACCTCCCGTAAGCGACCACTTTTTCGTGCGTCAGGGGTGGTCGCATACGAGAGAGTCAACGCCCTAAGATTTCCTTTCTGTTCCATTGTTCTCTTGACAATCTCTTGCGTGACTATATGCTCTTAAAAATAAGTGGATCATTACCATCTGTGTCAACTTCACTGATCATTTCTTTAAGTTCAGCTTCTGTCGGGTTTTCCCCTAGAGATTCCATCACTGTTCCCAACTCTTTCGTGGTAATCTTTCCATCCCCATTCTTGTCGAAAAGAGAGAATGCTTGTTTGATTTCTGTTAAGGATGTGAAGGAATAAGTGTAAATGGGGATAAGCTCATCATATAAGATCCACCTTACCCTGAAACGTAGGAAGCATCCCATTGGGAAATCCTGCTTTAGATCTTGAAATCCAAATTTTGGATATGTATAACAACGCAAAATCCAAAACCGGATTACGTCGAAGCGCCACTAAGACTGTGGGCACGCATAATTAGCAAAAAAAAAAAAAAGACTTCTGATCACGCGAACTATATATTTTTCAAATTCGGATTTCAAATAAAACTCAAAGAAGATTTGGATTTCTTCTTTGAAATCTACCTCGTGGACGAATTTCTCGAAGTAATCCGTACTGGATTTTCTGCTTTAATTATTGCAAAATCCGAAATCCGGATTCCAAATTCTAAATTCACATTTCTCAATCGAACGCATACAGGATAACTACAAGGCAAGTCCTTGCATGTTGCTCGTTTTCAGATCGGAATTTAATTTCATACCTGCTATCTGATCTTCGGAGAATTGCGATTCAGCCTGGAATAAAAAAGGATGAAGTCTGTATCAAGTACATGTACTTTGACTCTATTCAATTATTTTAAGCAGAGGGAATCATGCAAGTCTGAGTTTTTAAAAGGCAAACAATTCGAAACAATACTGCAATTGGCTGCAACAGAATTTGTACGGTTGCGTGTAAACGGGTTGCACAGGTAAAATCTTTGTCCGTACCCGTGTAAACGATTTACAAATAACGTTGTACCAGCTGGTTAACTTGAGCAGTCTGTGCCACATTTAGCTCTTTATGCTCCATGTTCCTTTAGATTGAGTCGGTTATTGCTGTTGGTGGAGTCTCGCTTTGGGTGAGCTCTGTTTGCTGGGATACTTAATAACGACAATTCCAGTTTGGGAAAAATTTGGCCACAAGAGTGACCGTTTATTTCATTTAAGCATATCAAGCTAGGAAAATACAGATACACTAGAACATTTATACCAGCAAAGGTGAGGGTACACCTGCCATTAGGGAGATGATTCTCAGGCGATTAAGGCATGGGTCACCTCATAATTTGCATAATTTGGCGAAGTGGCCTTTGAAACGGATTGTTTTGATCAGTCGTCATGAAACTTGGCAAACAGTTTCAGCGCGACGATCTTAACAATAGCTGACATATTCATTGTTGAAATATTAGTCACCTGACCTGCAAATGATCGTTAACGTTCAAAGTGATCAAATAAAAACAGGTGAAAGGAAATGAAAGAGCAGCAAATATTCTTAGGCAACAGTGTTTTTACCTAGGCCTGGATATCATGAAATAGCCAGGCATGTATGCCTAAGTTGAGCAAGGATTATGAAATAAAGAAAAACAGGTCACGTGTCTTATAAAAGACTTTAATAACTCTTAATAAAAATGCTTTAATCCACCTTGCAAGGCTAATTGACAATCCAGACAGTTTCGCTGACAATTTTAGGCTGAAGTTTAACAACCTTGCCTCGTTTGAGAAAACAGTTTTTGTGACGTCATAGACTAGTGAATGTCGCGTGATGCTTAGGATGAATTTTCCAAAACTATTTTAGTGAGATGTCTTATCATATCTTTGTGGATACCTTTTTTCGTGGATCCTTCTGTGTCATTAAAATGGATCTTTGCATTCTCTGTGGGGGGTCTTTTAGCCTTTCAACCTATATGCCTTAACCTGCATGAGGAAAGCGGAGCCAAAGGGGACGGAAGGGAGGGGCAAATGTTTTCCAGCTTTGTTTTTGCAGAGAGCAGAGAGGCCTTGTTCTTCACTTTCATGTTATAGAAACACATATATAATGTCCCGGATGGCAGGAACGACCCTCCCCGGTAGCTAGAGAAATGGCACATTAATCAGTCACATTTAGCATAAAACCATTTATTTCTTTCAGAGATAAGTTTCCTTTAAAAGCAATATCTAAGGAAATATCAGCCAAACTTCAAGATTGCTGAGTAGAAAAAGCCTTAATGAGCCTACAGTTCCTTTGATAAATTTTGAGTTTTTTAACCGAAAATTTCTCCCAAAAAAATGGACATTTGATATTTGTTATATCTAGCTCGACGTTTTCAGAAATTACAAATACTATTATGCTGTTTCTTACTAGAAACAACTCTTCACTAAATAGTTGTTTTAGTAAGAAATCGCCTAGTTAGCATAATAGCATAATAGAATAATTGTTATATATTCAGAGATGTCATCATGCCTGTGGCATTAAGTAGATGCGAGTTAAATGTTGTTTAAACAGGATCTAACCCTTATTTCAAGCAATCAATCATGTCGCCCTCTCACCACCTAGCCCCCTATGAAGATGCCTCTAGTAGCTTAATAAAATGTCACAAAACGGAAAGTGTAAACAAGGATTCGCCTATACTATGAATAAAATATGCTTTTATTTTTTTCCATTTTACAACAGATCTGCCCCCTAAACACCCGCAAGAACTGGTCCTTGTTAAAGCAAATTAGTTGGCATGGACGGGGGTTTGAATAAATTTTTTAAAATGTTCTTAAAAGTCTTTTGTGATGTTTGTTTCAGCTTAAATAAGTGTCAGGACGCGAAATATTTTGTTAGTAAAGATCGAAAGAAAAAATTGAACACAAACGTTGCCATTAATATACATCATTTAAATCCTCGTTGCACCTATAAGTTAGAACGGTATGTAATAACAATGGTGTGCTACCTAAACTGACAATGTTGCCTGGCACATTGCATCCATTTAAAAGGAATCCCTGACGAGAATTTTATTTCAGCTGAAATTCATTATTCTTATAAAAAGAAACAGATGGACTGTCATTAATGTTAACGCTAAACAGAAGGTAATTAAGTAATATAAAGGCTATATATATATATTTTTTTTAAGACCTACGGCGACAAAAACTTCATCGTAATTAAAAGAATTAAAAGTACACGTACATTCTCTAAATAACAGCTATGTAGTCAGAACTCAGTAAGCACGTCTGGCACTTGAAAGACGCTAAGATTAGATTTAGCTTAACTTGGAAGATCTTAAAGCAAGCCGCACAATTAATCCCGCTTCAAATCGCTGTAATTTGTACCTGTGGGAAAAATATTTCATCATTTGCAGAGCCGATCTGGCGTGCTTGAACAAGCGAAATGAACTTGTCACTTCGATTCCTGCAAGCACGCGCGTAAATTCCTTCTTAGCAGTTTTACATCTTCCGTTGGCACGCAATAGTTTTTTTTGTTCAAATGCCGCGCGCGCGTTTGTAATAACGAACTTTTTGTTGGCAATTTTATCTGAGGTGTGCCATACATACCGTGCGGTACGAAACTAAGTAGTAATAAAAATGCCAAGTCAAATCTCAGGCGTGCATATGCATCAACTGGTAAAAAAAAAAGTAATGTAAATGATGGAAAAAACATACAAGGCATCGCCATTTAGACCTGTATTTAATAGTTGTCATTCTTGTGCTTTGAACTTAATTTTAACGTTAAAGCCGGCCACCTTTACCTCAAGTCGAAGATTCCGTTTCCCCGCTCTCAAACTAACCACCAGAATGCAAATAAGATAATTATTCCTCACCGAAGGATACCGAAGGATACCAGCTGACTAGCGTTTTGTAGGCATTAAGGACGAAACTTGTAATCTTTTAACGAACACCTCCCCATAGAATACTTTTTTTTTCTCATTACAAATTCTTAACCTTTATGATAGAGGCTTAAAATTTTGACCTCATGTCTTGCCTAGAAACAGAGGATTAGACATTGAATTTTTCTTCGTTTTTGTGTAGTGAGTCGCGGCATAACTACCTTTACAAAATACCCCTTATATTCAGTGTGAGCTAGAGCCTAGCTCATAATATCCTTTATCCGAGAATGGATACATCCAAAATGAGGCAATACCTCCCATTCAATTCAAGGCAAAAAATGAGTCCAATTTACCTGCTCATCGTTATGATAGTCTTTACTCAGTCTGTGTTGTTCCTTTTTTTTTTTTTTTTTTTCAAAGTGAGACCTACACAGTACACTATTAAAATATCGCTGATCAAGTTATTGTACCGTAAATCTTTTACCTAGATTGAAAGATATGGGCTACAAACTTACCATATTACAAAAACGTTTCCACTGCCCCATATAGTTTTTATTTTTTTTTTTTTTTTTTTGTTTGTGGGGGAGGCTGGACACATAAATACTTTTTATACAACATCTTATATAAAAAAAATAGCGTATCATCACTTTTATTTTAAACAAAAAAAAAAATCAAAATTAACCACTCATTTTTTTTTTTTTTTTTAATTAAAATGTGTTTTTTCTTTTTTTTTTTTTTTTTTTTCAAAGTGAGACCTACACAGTACACTATGAAAATATCGCTGATCAAGTTATTGTACCGTAAATCTTTAACCTAGATTGAAAGCTATGGACTACAAACTTACCATATTACAAAGACGTTTCCACTGCACAAAATGTTCCGTATCAACGAGCTATTGCAAGATGTCAATGTTATCGACAAGGGTATTTATTGCTGTAAAAATACAACCATAGCCTGCTTCTGATTGGTTCGTTAGAATCGATAAACAGTTTTTTTCGGATTTATTTGCATGTATCAGGGTCGTAAGGGCCAAAGCCCAGTTGTGTGTCGCCAAGTCTACAGTTTTGATGATTAAGAATTAATGTTAACTGAAGTTATCCACCAGCACAGTTGGCAGTCATAGGCGAATTCTTGTTTTCATTTTTTTTGCGTCATTAGTATACGCTTGTCATTATCTAAAGAAGCTAACAAAACAAAATTTCTGAATATTGAAAGAGCATATCAATTTCAGTTATCTCTGAAAATTTGAGCCCGATATACTGCATAGTTTCGAAGAAATTCTCTTTAAAAAGAATGTTTGAGCTCATTAACATTTTCCCTCCTAGCAATTTCGCAGCTTTTTATTGGTGTTATTTTCTTTGTTATTGATTGTAAATAGCCGAAAGCTGCACAAACTGCTCAAATCCACCAGTTCTTTCAGTTTTTGAACCTAATTTGTCTATATGGCTACGCTTTCTCTTGGTTAACTCGTACGCTACTGCAAGAGGAAAAATGCGAACAACGACGTTATGATGAATCCGCCTATATAAAGTGTTTCCCCCTACAAAATTAAACAGAACATCAACTGTTTTGGCTTATCAGGTTCAGGTTCCTTTTCAGTATAATGGCTCATAAAGCATATATATAGTATAAAGTTTCCAACGGTGCAGAGAAGTATGTCACTGGAGAAGTTTATTGGGAGGTAGCCAAGTGCTGGTGAATCGTGCAAGGTGGAATCCATTTGCCAAATGTCTGGTTGTCAATTTATAACGCCAATCGGAACTGTTACTGTCAAAATTGCTGAAAGGAGTTCTTTTTTCATTGCTTCAAATGATATAACACTATACCATTATTCACTGATCATAACTAAATTCTAAACAAGGAAACTGATTCAATGAATGCACCATTCTTGACTGTCGGGATTTTTTCTTTCTTCTTTTTTTTTTTTTTGAGGGGAGGGGGGGGGAGAGGGGGGGTTTCAAACATTTACACGTGTACAAAAAGTAACTGCTCGATTGTTTTCGCAAGTTTCTAATCACTAAATTCTTTGCCTATGGCGAACATTTCTGTTCGCAAAAGAATAACAGGCTACTTATCAAGGCAACCACTGAGAAGATCTCTGGAACCTTGTGGAGTGGACGAAAACATGAAGAAAACATGGGATGCAAACATGGAAAAACATTTATAATTACTGCAGGCAGAAGCAAAAATGTTAGGAACCTGATTCGGCCCGATTTTACATATGAACTCAAATTCAAATTTGCCAAATACAATCAGTGACCTTTAAGGGTTTTATCATTATTATATCATTACATAACTATTATTACTTATTTATTTATTTATTTATTTTGGTACTTTTTACTTGAACATGGCTTTTTTTTTCAGTTATTTATTTGCCAGAAAAAAATACAGCCATTCATTATAATGCATAAGGTTAAAAGTGACGTTAAATTTACATATAATAATAATAATAATTATAATAATTTAAGAATTTATATTGCGCTTTTTTCATGACGAGATAATCAACTGCGCATTACAACAATACATAAAATAAAAATAACTAAATGTTAAATAAGAATTACATCATGTGTTGTGTAAAATATTAAAAAGCCTAGCTAAGAATAGAAAGCCTTACTAAAAGGTACATCTTCAAAAGTCTTGCTAAAAGTAAATAAAAATTACATAGTCGTGTAAGTAAACCTAACTAAGAATGGAAAGCCTTACTAAAAAAAAGATGATTTGGTCATTCTAATTTCCAGAGGTAAATCGTTCCAGAGTTTAGGCGCCGAAGGAACAAAAGTATGGTCCACCATTAAGTAGATCCATTAAAGGTATTTTTCCGGCGAGGAAGCTCAAATTGAAACTGTCAGTAGAAACTTGTTAAAAAAGAATTAGTTTCTATTTATTTTTTTAATCGTAAAATTAGAATTCTTTTTTCTTTAATTGGTATTAGTAGAATCCCGAAAGGGTTAAGCAGTAGATATAAACAGAGTTCCTGGGCACTGACCGTTGGGGGTGTGATTTTTAGCTGCTTTATCCTGACTAATGACGGTGACGAGAATAGAAGACATTATCATGTCGGATAAATCTAATTGATACTTCAATGAATTCTCCCCGCTACTTCTATAGCAAACGTATATGGACAACAAATGAGAATCTGCATGAATATTGAAGTCAGGATTTAAAGGGTTAATTAATGCAGAGCTTGCTGCCCTGTCCTGTATTCAAACCTCATCCAACATCCTTGCTCCGAAACCAGTACCCAACCATCCTCCCTCCTCAACCTCCTGGTGTTTTGTGGTTTTGTGTTTTGTGTTTTGAGGTCGAAACGTCGTGATTTTTTATCGCTAATATTTATCTCAAAATCGATTTCTAAGAAACTACTTATTAAAGAAGAACCCATTAATTTATTTCGAAAATAGTTTCAATCTTTATTATCATTGCTAATTCTAAAACATATTTTAAGAAGTACAATGCACCCCCAAAAAACTAATTAAACCAATCCAAACACACTAGCTAAGAAAGCAAAGTTAAGAAATCTGTCTTGTTATTTTAAAATGCCGAAAACCAACACATGTATACCAAACTATCACAAAACAAAACTTTCTTCATTTCTTCATTTCTTCAGCAACGAGGATCAAAGAATAGGCGGAAAACGAGAATTTCCTCATTTTGATGGCATCATCATGTTCTCGAACTCTGTTACAAAGCAAATGAAAAAATTATATATCAGTGCAGAGAACAAACTAAAGACTGAAACATTAAAATCATTGATTGGAAGTCACTGAACATATTAAACCTGGGCGAGAGGAATAGCTAGGCTATCTCCTTTGTCCAAGTTCTTTCACATAAGGCCAATTTTTTCAATTGAGCTATTGTAACTAATTGGCGTCTGGATCGTCAAAGTTCTCATTGCTTAGGTCAGTTATGCACTTATGCACGCATTAATGGCATTAATGTTGCTATGGTTACTTAATATGAAGTCAGAAAAAAGTCCAAGCAATGATCGGGTGATTTCGTACACACCAATGTTATAGCGACTCTAAAACAAGTGGTAGTATCGATCAGAGATACCCTGGCTCATAGGGACAAAACACTTCCCAGAATCTAAAACACGTTCCAGGATCCAAACACTTTTGGATTCTGGCACGTGTTTTGGATTCTGGGAAGTGTTTTTGGATTCTGGCACGTGTTTTGGATTCTGGGGAACTGTTTTTGGATCCTGGCACGTGTTTTGGATTCTAGGAAGTGTTTTGTCCCTTCGAGTTTTAGTGGGTCCCACTTTGGGAGAAAAATCTACTTAACATAACAATTCATACACTTCTAATGGGACATACATACCTTTGTAACTGACTTTACCGTCTTCGTCCAAATCTGCTTCGGCGATCATCTTCTCTATTTGTTCATCTGATAGTTTTTCTCCCAGTTTTTCCATGAGTTCTTTCAGCTCAGAAGCATTAATATAACCATTGCCGTCCTTATCGAAAATTTTGAACGTCTCCCTTAATACCTCAGCTAAGTATACTTCCTTCATTTTCCGACACATCATAGGTAGAAACTCATCAAACTCGATTTTTCCATTACCTATTAAAAAAATAATAAAGGAATACACAGTAACACCTTGACTGTATGCCCCCTACGTCCGGTAAGTTATGGGAGGTATTTTATGTGAATAAACCTTCAGCGCTAGCTAATCATTAGTTAGTTAGTAACTTAAATTGCTGGAATATAGCAAAAATTATCTACACCTGGTAATGTTTAACTGTGTAATTCAGTAGAGACTCGAACGTACAGGGCGTTTTTTTTTTTTTTTACTTATGTGACCAAATTAAAAGATGTCCTTTTTCTTTGAAGGTACGCCGAATGGTGTTTACAGAGGCGGAACGCTCGACGAAAAAATAGAGGAGTGGTATGGGGCAAAGATGGTAAATGCCACATTTGCATACCAAAGCGAACTTGCATGATTTGCAGTACTTACAGAAGCCTTTAAGGCTTCTGACACCTTTGGATATTATAAGTTTAGAAACAAAGGGCTGACAGGCATCCATCGATGGATCGAATCGAAATCACAATGCTGAACTTTGCTTGGCTTTGTTTAAAGAACCCATAAAAGTAATGACACATTTCCAGTTAAATGGGACAACTTGAAACCAAAGGCAAACTGGATAATTGAATGTAATTTAAAGAAGCGTGAACAATGCCAAAAACAGATCATTATCATTATGTTTTTTCAGAATTTGCTTGTTCCTACAGACAACTTTTATCCTGCCAAGCGATCGACAGAACATTGAGGCGAACTGAACACTTAATTACCATTCGTATCCAACTCATTCACCATATCCTGAAGTTCTGCATCTGTTGGATTCTGTCCAAGAGATCGCATCACTGTTCCAAGCTCTTCTGTGGTGATTGTACCATCTCCGTCTTTGTCATAGCACGAAAAAACCTCCTTGATTTCTTTAGAGAAGAAAAAACGTGCAAAGAGTAAACAATGTGTAGTTGGGACTTTCTCAATTCTCTGAAAAGACAACCTTTTCTTAAAACTTGAACAAACATGTTGAAACATTTTGTACTAAATATCAGAGTATGGTTTTCTGTTAACCGTCAATTTATTTCCACGACCCTCCACATGACCCAGATAGAAAGATGTCGATGAAATACGTAGGACTAGTAACAAGAAAACAAGTTAAGGGATGGGTTTTGCTACTTAATATCAGTTAAAGAGTACGCTGTAAAAAGCTAGAGTCTAATAGTGTGTAAAATCCTTACCTGCAATTTGTTCATCAGTAAGATTATGATCACCCTTGAAGCAAAAGATACAGTTGTAATTATTAGTGACAAAGATTACTTCCACAAGCTAAGCATCTCTACCTTACTTTAACTGAGTACTTATCCTAATTTGAAACATAATGGGTGTTACTTGTCTGGAAGGCAAATTAAACCTAGCACTGTCTTCTAGGTATAAAACTAAATATGTAAAACGTAGCATTTCACTCGCGAAGACACACCAAGCTTATTTATCCATTTGTCTGATTTATTTATTTATTTATTTATTTATTTATTTTATTCATCCATTCATTTATTCATTTTTTTTCCCTTCATTCTTATTCCCGGCAGAATAGCTTACCTTTCCCTAAGGTTAATGCTTTTTTTATCTGGCTACTTTTTAGCTTGAACCCAGAAAACATGATTATGATTATTTACGTATTAATTGTAATATACAAAATTGTAATTGTAATAATGAATCAAAATTTGAGGGTGCAATCGATGTCATAATCGTTCTTTGATATCACTTAAAACAACCCTTTCGTATGCCTTTAATGAAAGTAGGGTTGTTCCGTACAAAAAGAACATTTTCTCCAGAAGTTCCCAAAACAGGCCGAAATGAGAAACTAAACAGAAAATAACTTCGAGCAGAATCATTAAACATTCATAACCCCAGCATAACCACCAGTCAAGGCGTGTTCAATCTTTATTAAGTGCCAAATTTTCCATTGTATTATTTGGTGTGCCACTACTCTGCAAATAATTTTCTGCTTCATCGAAAATAAATAAAGTGGAAAAAAATATATATATCAAAGCCCAGCGCATCGAGTTCTAAGTTCACGACGTACAGATGAATACAAATTCGATGATTAAAAATAAATAATTAATTGAAACGGGAATTTTTAATTTACTTTAGGGCTTGGTGTACAGACTAATATTCAGGCCAGCCTTACAATATGATCGGTATTAAAGACTTCGGCAATCAAACCTATAGTGAGCATTTTTTGTTTTGTTTTATTCTTCATTCATGTGAATTCAGATTTCACACGACTTAGTAGATTTTTTTGAGCGATCGGCTAGGTATGCACACACCGTTTCTGGATCTTAAAGGATTCCAACTAAGCAAGGCATTAAGTAGGTTGTTAAGGACGCCTTTACTTTTCCTTGTCTCACGTCCTTTCTCGGCAATGTAATATTTTCCGCGCAGAAAGCAAAGCCTTTCAAATCATTCGCTAAAAAAAGTATTAATTCTCACGGTCAGTGTAACAGTTCATCAAAAGTTACAAGACGAATGGAAGATATTATTGACGCAAGCCACTTCAATCTTACCTTAGCATAAATCACAATTCGTGAGGTGCATACTTAGGCTAGAGAGAATAATATTTAGTGTTAAATAAACTGAACTTACCATTTTCAGATTCAAATTCTCCTGCCCTAGCCAAATGTCTGCAACCGATAGTCTAGTCACCGTTCATTAGTGAAGTTCAAAACTTTTTAAATATTTATTAAGGTGGGTAAATTTTGGCATTCTTTTTATTCGCTTCCACCCCTGTTTGTACTTCCGAGAATTATTAATAAGTATTTTCTCTTTCACAGCGCATTGTGATTGCAAATCTCCCTGTGATGTGTCGGTGCGCGCATCCATTGAATTAGAATGTCCCGGAAGGTATCGTCAAGTCCATCAAATAATTCGATCATTGCTTCGGACTAATCTTATTGACACGACACCGATCATTTGGTGATGAAATAAGTTACATTGATTTATTGAACAAGCGTAAAAGAGCTTTTCCATAAGGACTTAAAATACAAAGCATATTATGAGTGACGCAGATTACAATACAACTTTTTATCCTGGCACAAAAATTAAAAGTTGTACTGTCGGAAGCGCAAATCACAATGAAGTTGACACGCAGCATTGAGACGGTATAGCGCGAGATTCTGGTGAGAAGTAATTAGACAGAACATCAAGCGGTCTTGCTACGGCCACATCTTTTACAGTACACCAAGAAATCGTGCTGCCTCATGAAGTTATTCGCCGGTCATCATCTTTAAAAATTCTAGAGAAAATAAAACGAGAAGTATGCTAAATATTTTGTACTTTGCAGCTTAAAATACTGAGAACAGTATTATTGTAAGTTGATAGGATGAATTAAGGTGTAAAGGCACAAATAAACGATGGCCAAATACGTTGCGTTGCGACACAAAGAACGGCTGCGAAGGAGATCAAAGTGGGACTGACAAGATAAATTTTTTTTCTTCTTAAGTTGACGTACTTGAATTTTTGTGTTGCCAATTACATGTTAGGTCCCCCTCCCCCCCCCCCCCCCCCCCCCCCCCCCCCCCCCCCCCCTCCCCCCCCCCTCTCTCTTATTTTTTTTCTCCTTCGCCAGTGGACGGGGGGGAAGAGCTGTTCCTCCCTCAACTTCTCTTCGCGCGCGGGGGGCGGCTGTTGGGGGCGCGGGATCTCGTTTCTTGCTCTCTTCCCTCCTATACGCGGCGAAAGGGGCGCCACACAGTGCTATTTGAAACAAAAAAAACAACGGGCAAAAACCGGTGGGGGGAAGCACAAAAAAGGCGCGGAGGAGGGAAAAAAAGGGGACAGACAAAAAAAATTTTTTTTTTTTTTATATTTGGACTTTTAAATTTTTTTGTTTCAAATAAAATTTGTGGCCCCCCCCCCCCCCCCCCCCCCCCCTAGACCCCGCATGCGCGTTTTCCCCCAATTTCGTTAGACTTTTTTCCCACAGGTAAAGTGGAGCGAGTGAAGTACTCCTTTCTCACGAGATGCCTGTTCTCGCGCGAGAAGCCGATGTTTGTGGCGCGCTAACTTGTTTCACTCTCTCTACTCTCATGGAGGATACAGCAAGGAGCCCAAAAGTGTGACCTCCTTTACTTAATTCACATTCTTTCATGCAGACATTAACCAATGAGAGGTCGAGGACAGTTTCCAGCTGGCTTCTGATTGGATTAAATCAGTGCACGAAAGAATGTGAATAAGTTAAACTTTTGGGCTCCATGCTATAAAAGTTCGAAGAGTGACCAACAACATTTTTTCCCATGCAATATCAATACATAATCAAGAGAAAAGTTTATAAAAACTATTAAAATGATCACCCAAAACTAAGGGAAAATGAATTTTTTAGGAGGGTTTTTTTTTGAAGAATTTGTATCTGGATAATGGGACTTAAAGGGTTAAAGAAAAAGAAGCAGCTGCTCGTAGTCTACTTTCAGAAAAAAAGAGTTTAAGTGAGAGTAGATCTCAATCACATAGCCATCATGACGTTAGTAGAGAGAAAGAAGAACTTTCAAACTTCTTTTCCTTTGTCTTTATCATATCGTTTAAGAAGAAAACCAAAGATTATTTAGACAGTACTAGTTATTTGTCGATTGATGAGATATTACCAGTTGTGGATAGTAGTATTGTCTGGCCAAAGGTTTAAATTCAGACCCTCCAATTGCCTGACCGCTGATGATAACATGCTGATGATCATGAGCTACTGAGCCATTTATTGTTGAGTGAACTTGGGGTGTTAGGGGCGTGGCAGAAACTATTTTACCGTGGATGCTCTCACCTTCATAATTGACTTGTCCATCACCATTAATGTCAGCTTTTCTAATCATCTCATCTACTTCTTCATCCGTAAGTTTCTCTCCTAGGTTACTCATGACTAGTCGCAACTCAGCAGCACTGATGAAGCCATTGCCATCCTTATCAAAAACTCGAAAGATCTCTTGTATTTCCATCTCGCCGTCATAGTCTTTCATTTTTCGTGCCATCATAGTAAGGAACTCAGGGAAGTCAATTTTCCCATTTCCTGATTACGCAAATATAAAATTAAATTTAGCACAAAGCTGTATTGAGGGCATTGTTTTGTGTTCTGCACAGGAGATGCCACTCCCATTTTAATGCGTAATGCTGCCTCGGCAGGGTTTGCAGGAGAGAATCAGACATCGTCACCAACTTACTAACGGAGAGCTAGAGAGAGACTGAGGTCGATCTCCGTAATCTTAATACAGTCGAATCTCTCCAAACCTTGGGAACAGAAAATGGCCATTGTGGAGAGGGTGTCCGTTATGGGGAGGTAGAGGTTAATAAATATGAGAATTTTTTTGAGGAAATACAACGTAACATGTTGTGATCAGTTCATGCTTACTGTATCCCATACTATCGTGGATCCGATGGACAATTAATGCTTACTGCAGCAGTAAAAATGGAACACAATCAAAATGCGATAGCCGCGATTAATCATCAACGCGCCATACGGAACAAATTTCGCAACCATTCTTGACTTTTTCATCAGTCAGCTGAAAAAATTGCCATTTTCGAGAGGTTATTTTGTGGACCCGCTTTAGTGGCCTTTGCCGTTGTAGAGAGATTTAAACATGAGTCAATGTATGCGGAATGTCCGCCGGGGCAAAAAAGTGGCCGTTGTGGAGAGGCTGCCGTTAGTGGAGGTTGGACTGTTTACATTCACCACACTCTTAATGGACACCTTGCTAAAACGGACAGCTAGAGTTGTTCCCTGCCTTCCTTTCTCCTTTTAGTTGACCCTTTCTAAGACGCACGGACACATAGAAAGAGATGTCCGTCTTATAGAGAGTCAAATAAAGGGAGGAGCAATGGAGCAAAGGCACGGACCAAATTAAGGTGTCCCCTTTACAGAGGTGTGGGTCTTATAAAAGAGTTCATCTTAGAGAGATATGACGGTGCAGTGACCACACCTTTATAAGACGGACACCTCTGTAAAACGGACACCTATAGTTGGTACCTGCCTTTCATTACTCGTCCCTTTATTTGATTTCTATAAGACGGACATCTCTCTCTAAGACGGAGGCTTAGTGCTGGTCCCGGTCCGTTTTCGCAGAGACTGAGAGATTGACCATACTGTTAATTCATTTATACTAGTACATGAGAAATTTCTGCGATTTGATTGGCTTAGAGCATGGTATATCAGCTTAATTTGAAATACCTACATGTTAAAATTACAAACCTTTAGCGGGTAGTAGTATAAACAAATAATAGAGACCTTAAGATCGAGGTTTGGTCATTTTACGGCAAACGACAAACTGTGGTTTGCGGTTAACGGTTTCACGTCACCCGTCTGCCCATATTTGGGACTTAAGATTCGCGGCTAGTAGCTCGCGGCTGCCATGTTTGCTGTATCCACTTGCTTCTATTTTAGCTGAAAATTTGTCTTCAAAATTTCGTTTTTTTAAAGAATTGGATAATCAATTAGCAAAAGAGTTCTAAAAAGTCGTATTTCTTCTCAAACGTGGGATTGTGATGTTTTGGGGTGCAAAAAGCCTTGCGGTAAATCACTTACCTCTGGAGCGTGGTCTAGCCGTACAAACGTGAACCTCACACCGCAAACCTGACAGCAATGCCCTGGTCACGTGACTTCTAGACGTTAGCGGTTCGCAGGAAATGCCGAAAAACCTCAATCTTAAGGTCTCTAATAGCATGATTTGTACGTGATATTTGGCATAAATACCACTCGTGATCTCAAAATTGTCTCACATTTCCTCGCCTAACGGCCGGTGAAATTATTTATAACAATTTCGAAATATCACTCGTGGTATTTGTGCCAAATATCACTAAAAATTAGGCTACTACTTTTACTAACTAACCTAACGGCTCGTGAAATTACGTATAACAATTTCGAAATATCACTCGTGGTATTTATGCCAAATATCACTAAAAATCACCAACACTAACTCACCATCGGTGTAAACTTCATTGATCATATCCTGAAGTTCTGCTTCCGTCGGGTTCTGTCCAAGAGATCTCATCACTGTACCCAGCTCTTTAGGGGTGATCGTACCATCTCCATCCTTGTCAAATAAAGAAAAAGCTTCCTTGAATTCTAAAAGAGGAAATTAATTCAAAGTATTTAAGACAATATTTTGATTTCAGGAAGTCAATTAGTGGACAACCTCTTTTTATACAGTCAGATTGATTGTACCAAAGTATTCCCTGAAACAAGCTAAGTTTTCCACAGGGTATTATTACCATGACTAGCTAAGCGAAATCTCTTTAAAAAGTTGTTGACAATTACATAGCTTATTGACCCTTCCATACCACAAAAGTGTCCGGAAATTTATGTAAAATTGTGCAAAAATAAAGACGAAAAATATCAGACTTTTAAAATATATAGTTGAATAAGTTAAATTAATTTGGAGTGCTGGCCATGGCGACATCCAGTGACTATGACCTCAATAGTATACCGGCAGTTACTGACTGTCTGACTAACGCAAGAGAGCGAAAACTTGACAAAGTCTTCAGTTCAAAGTTTCAATGCTAAGTCTTTCAAATTAATTCAATGCTGTCCCTAAAAAAAACCTACCAGCAATCTGCTCCTCTGTTAATTGATCAGTCTGTAAGTTGTAAAAAAGAAAAAAAATGCAACCGCTAAAATTCAGTTACTAGCTTGCAATTTAAACTGTCTCTACGCTATAAAAACTATTGACTAGAAGGCCATTACGTTGAGCAAAGATCAGCAAAGGTATCACTTACGACCGCGATTCTCAGAATTTCCGAGAACTACTAAAATCAGTATCAAACAACAAACGAAAGGCAAGGTTACGTTTCTCCACAACAACATACATGTTCTGTTTTTGCAAGCAGCAATCTCGTACAATTCACACAAATATACTAAAATCGTAGAACCGAGACATGTAATCACCGGCATAGTACTTAGTGTACGGGGCTGTGAGGAAAGTACCAAACAAAATCTTACCATGTTTCGTCTGATGTCGTATTCTAACTTTTTAAAAAAGTTGAGAAACTCTTGGTTATATATTTGAAACTTCCAATTTCTCTCAAAATAACAACGTCTATAATTGGTGGATTTTGAAATTAAGTCATTCCAAATTTGGAATGTCAAGGAGGAAAGTGCGTCGAAGGACTGCTGTGCTTTTGCTCTATGTTGATGCGTACGGCATCTCGCTGAAATTATTCCGGACGATGATACACCTGAATAAATTCAATTAATAACCAGATTACTTAATCGTTTACAAACAAATCATCGCAAGGTGTCACCAGCAAATAAGTCTACTTACATACTCCTTCTTCCCGAGTAAAATCTTGGGCAGGGTTAATTCAACTGCCGCATATTACGTCACACTGCGTCAGTTCACTGCTGCGCATCAATGCGGCAAATGCGTCTGGTGCGTTTACTGAAGAGACAGCAAAGGGATGCGTCGTTTGATTGCTTGACTTACTTCAAAAGTGGATCTCAACTAGAGAAGGCTCGTTTTTTGCGTATTATGCATAGCAGGTGCAGGTTTAAGGCAGCGGGAAAAATTTAGACTACGCGCATGACAAGCAAAAGGGGTAAAGTGGACTAATAAAAAAATTAATAAAAAAATTAGTAAATAAATAAACAGATAACCGGTGCCTGCTACGCAGACTAGTTGTATGACCATTACACTACAAACCCAAGGTACCCCAGGCTCAGTGATATCATGATACCACAGTACAAAACCGTTAAAATTAAGTTGTTTGTGTGGAGTGAGAATTTGAGCAGATTTTACGAAACTTCGATTGAGCTTCTAGCATTAACTGCAGAGTAAGCATTTGGTAATTCCTAAAAAATTAGGAATCGTAACAAACATTGCAATTTTACAGGATTCCTACTGTAATACTGTAACGTAATCTCTGAGCTTGAGTAACCTGTGTACAAACGGGGTAAGAGGGGAAGTGTAAGCTTCTCATTACACGTACTCGTTAACCCCGGTTCCCGCCCCCTTGTATTGACCTTCCCTCGCACTTTCTATTTGTGCAATGTGCTTTCTGCTTTCTCGTTTCCCACTTTACCTCTTTGGCTTAAGGTGAATGATCGAGTTATGGTTGCACGTGAGAGGTTGCTCAGCAATTCTTCCAAGTGCAAGAAGCTTGAGTCGCACAAGGCAATGTGCTTCTTTTGTGCATTGCAGCAACCCTCAGCGTGCAACCATAACTAGTACATGCTGAGCCGCTTGCTTACAGATAGATTGTGAGGGAATGTCTCAGGTGTTGTTATCTGTGCACGCTATGGGGTGTACAAATCATCTTCTGCATAGCAGTCTATTACGAAAAATGTTCGAAAAAAATATTTGCTGAATAAGTAGTTTTTGGTCTCAATGTAAAATCCTTTTTCATTTTTTATGTGTTTAAATGACTTGTTAACTTTCTCGATAAAATGCTCTGTAAACTATGAACAAAATCAAAATATCACAAAAAGCTCACACTGATTTGAGCAAGCAATACCTAGTAGTCACCCATGGGTAAAATGTAATGGGTAACTGAGCAAGACTATTGACCAATTGGATCACTTGCTTTACTTTTGGTATGTAACAATGTTTGCTCTTTGTGTGACATACACTCATTTAGGGGAGGTGCTCTTTCAGTAGACCTCTCCTTGGCCCAACCCCCTTTTCTAGGGGACAAATAGCTGGCACTTCAGACTACTCTTTCCAGTGAATACTAAATAAATTTGGTAATAGCTGGGAACTAAATACCCTGGTCCCAGAGGTTTTTCTTGAAAATTTTCTTTGCTACTCTCTCTCTTTCTCTCTCTTGCAAAGAAAAATATCAAGAAAAACCTCTGGGACTAAGGTATGAACTAAACAACACCAACTAGGTTCTGGTTTTTTTTTACTTTAATGATGAAATAAATTACATTGAATTGTTTAAACAAGTTAACAGTGCTCTCGATAAAGACTAAATTTACACAACATATCATTGTGAGTGGTGCACAAATATTATGTTCCAAGTTTTTATCCTGACAGAACATTGTATAGATCTTTTGCGAGTGCCAGTCACGATAGCGTTGAAACCCAACAGTGAAAATGTACTGAGATTTTGGTAAGTAATGATGCACATACTCCTTCATCAGGTGATCTTGCTGTAATATCAAATATATTTATACACCAAGTGGTTGGCTGCCATATGAAATTATTTGCTGGTCATCATCTTGACAAATTCTGGAGAAAATAAAAGAAAGCATATTACAAATGGTTTGTTTTGTGTAGCCATCTACAATAGCCTGTGGGAGTCGGCTATTTTCTCAAAAGGGCAGTGACGTTTCTTGCGAACCATGCAGGGGTGACAAATGGTAGTGAGGTGAGATGCATAAAACAAAAACCAGCACCACCGTTTTCACCTGGTTACATGTATGTCTGCTACCTGTAAATGTTTTCACAAATGTTTGGGCATGCAGAGATTAAGAAAGGAGGGGGGAATAGTAATGTAGACAAAAAAGAAATAACAACAACAAAACAAGACAAAAACAGCAACAAGAAACTTGATGAAAAGTCCTTAAACTAGTTTACAATTCCCCTTAAAATACCCAAGCTAAAAGAGGTGTATTGCCTACTCCCTTAAAAAAAGCCGGGGTTTTTGATTTTGCTGCGAATGGAAAAGGAAGGATGGATGGGGCATACGGGCCAATGTCTTACTATGAAACAAAACCAGGAACACCAGTGGAATGTTATTGTGTTGCGGTGAGAAACTGTGGCAACAAGGCTTGAGAAAACTAAACCACAAAGGGGAAGGGATGGAGTTATTACTTTATAGTACATGCCCTCACCTTCATAATTGACTTGTCCATCACCGTCAATGTCAGCTTCTCTGATCATCTCATCAACTTCTTCGTCTGTAAGTTTCTCTCCCAGGTTAGTCATAACATGTCGTAACTCAGCAGCACTGATGAAGCCATTGCCATCCTTGTCAAAAACTCGAAAGGCTTCTTTTATTTCCTCCTCACTGTCGGTGTCTTTCATTTTTCGCGCCATCATGGTGAGAAACTCGGGAAAATCTATTGTTCCATTTCCTAATAACAAAGCCAAAGCAAGACTAAATTGAAGATATACTGTGAGTCGCGTCCCATACAAGAGATGAGACTGTCTATTTTAACATGGTCACTTCAGACCCCTTCTCTGGTGCTAGTATTCTAATGTTACACTGTGATTTGATTAGAACTATGCAATGTTCATCAGGTGGTATGCACAGCTAGGTTTCACTTCTTTTAAAACCAGACAGAAAAACTTCTCCTTACTGCAGAGGCTATCGAAACGTCAGTTTTTTCTGATTACAGTTGTACAGGGTTTTCAATAAGGTAGGTACAGGCAAAAAAAAGCTTTGGAGTAGGTGGAGAAGGACAAAAAATATGTGCCACAGATGCGACTTGCAAGCGTCAAAAGCACAAGTTACTAGGGGGTCTAGGGAAAACATTTGAAATCTCAACCTTCCAAGTTAAATTTTTTGCTCGGTCGCCATTTGGCAACAAACTCTTTTAGTTTAGGGAGACTTTTTTACAAATCAAGATGCCAGCTCCAAAATTTTAGGAGCCATGGCGACCAAAATGGTCGCAATTTAGAGGGTTGAATCTGTGTGCATTTTATTTCCAGCATTCTGGAGCAAAAATAGAGTGTTTGAACAGAACACAGGCATCATGAAATTTTGGCTTTTTTGTTGGTAATTTCCAAAGAAAAGTATATGTACACAGTGAGTTCACGTTAAATAGCCCGGGAATTTCACCAGCGGCTGACTCTTATTGAGAACCCTGGATTACAAGCCCTAGGGCTTATAAATATAACCTTTGTATGGGGTTTTAGGAGGGCTTACAACCAGACTGAAAAGTGTTTCAAAACAAGCTACATAGCAGTGCTGATCCAAATACTTTTTGAATTTGATTGCTTTTTAAAACCTTACAAAAAGTCTAATCAATTTAATACAAGATAGAGGGGGGCTTATATTTCGGGGGAGGGGGTATAACTGGTTGTATTTTTTCTGTTTACAGGTGGATGGGCCTTTAATGAGGGAGGTGGGGGCTTATAATGGAAAGTTTACTGTACATGTACACCAAGGCTGGCATTAAGATTTCAAGTTGCCAGATAAAATAATACAATAATTCAGTAGGTGAGGAATTCAAACAGCTGGGGCTTTCTTTTGGTTTTATGTCTATTGTCACATCAAGGTATGTGGTCCTGGGTATCAGGTCCTTAAGGTAGTTATTCAATATATTCATCATTCATAAATAACTCACCATCAGCGTCAACCTCGTTGATCATATCCTGAAGTTCTGCTTCGGTTGGATTCTGTCCAAGAGATCTCATCACTGTACCTAACTCTTTTGTGGTGATTGTACCATCTCCATCTTTGTCAAAAAGTGAGAATGCTTCTTTGAATTCTACAAGAGGATATATTTTTTTTGTTTCAGCACATTGATCTGACCTCAGACACTACCACGTTTTGTGAACAAACATTTGTGAAACTCAGGAGGCTTGATAATTAATTATAGTTTCAATTTTGGTGATGTCTTATAAAAACCAAGAATTGATTCATTAATTATTAATGCAGGTCTGATAACACCTACCAGCAATTTGCTCCTCTGTTAATTGGTCGGCCTGTAAGCGTTAAAAAATAAAAGCCTTAGCATCTCAAATTCAGTGACTTAGGGGGAAAGTAGCTTACAATAAACTGAGTTGGAGGTACGCAACTATTCATGACTTGAAGGCCATTAACTTTAAGGGGTGGCGAATGGTAAAATCCAAGACTCGCCGAGACCCTAGTTAGAAATCCGAGCCCGAGACTCTTTGGTAAAAACTTTTGAGACTCAAAAAAAGTAAAAACAAACCATGCAAAAACGAGATTTCGAGACTTGTCAAAAATGCTTCCGAAATTTTGAGATCCTGCCCAAAATTTTCCAAGACCCACGTTTTTCGAGCTACCATTCGCCACCCCTACTTTAAGTCCTGTACGATGTAGATGTCAATCAAAGTATATTTAAACAAGCTTAAGCTGTGAAAGCTATATAAGGTTGCCATTGTAGAGAGGTTAATGTTGTCGTTAATGGAGGTGCGACTGTAAACCAAACCTTCGCCATTATTTCTCTCATGGCAGTGGGAATCAGGATGAACTTAAAAATCACTTTGTAAGGGCGTTTCAAAACTTTAAAAAACAAGTTCAGTTTCAGGCCTTAGGATTGTTTTTTTCTCACTCATTTTCCCTCCAGACTTTTAATAAAGGCTGTAAAATGATGTTTATGGAAATTCAACCACAGAAGAAATGCTTTGATGGGCAACCTTCATAATTGCCAAGAAATAATTGCGCCCAGATGTATCTAAAATATGTGGATGTGAGCAATGACACGGAAAAATCAGTAATTGCCCCACCTAACGGGCTTTGTTTATTGTTAATTTTTCGCCTGAACAGAGTTTTACTAGTATCAAATGCCCAGAATTAACTGATATACGAAGCTGGTAAAGTTTATGGTTGGAAAAGTTTCCTGTTGCAGATCATAGAACCTTTAGGCACTATATATGCAGAAAAACTAAGATTACAAAGATCTTTTTTTGCCACTTGTTTGTGAGGGTATGTCTGGTACGATCCAGTAGCAGACAAAATATCGAATACGTTCAACGTCTCACAAAGAACACTGCTTCAGTGCCAGGGTTTTGTTTCAATGGAGAAGGTGTATTCCCTCGTGACCATGGAAACAAATACTTTAACGTGCTCAGCTTCGTAGAATGCGAGTGAAATTTGCAAACTCTCATCACGACAACATACCAAAGGCTGATATCATCAGTGTAAAAAAATGCTTAGGTTAGTTCCGGTTAATATTACGATCATAAAACTCAACCCACAGACAAGCGAGGAAAACGGTGAAGATTTTTTTTTAAATGTCAACTGTATTTTCGTGCGCGCGTGGAGTTGAGTTGTGTGAGGCAAAATGGCGCTGACCAGTGTACCTATCAACGGCCTATCAACTTTACCACAGTTTTACAGAATTTTTGTTCGCTAGTTAAGTAAGTATCAAACAAAATCTTACCATTTTTCGACTGATGTCCTATTCTGACTTTCGAAAAACTTTATAAATTGATTATTATGTTTGAAATATCTTGAAATTTCTCCCGAAATTAAACCCCGTTTGATTGGCTGATTTAGAAAAAGGTCATTCCAAATTTGGAATGCCAAGGACGAAAGTGCGTCGCGGGACGCCGTAATTATTGGCAAGAAATTTTCCTGAATATTCTCCTGAAAATTATACACTTCGACCAATATTTGTGTTAAATAAAAGCAAGCAATAACCAGTTTACTTAAGCTTCGGTAAACATATGCTTCAAGACATTACAACCAAATAAATCTACACAGACACTTGTTCTTCCGGGTTAAAAATTCAACTGCTGCATGTTACGTCACACTGCGTCAGTGTTCACCGATGTGCATCAATGCGGCAAATGCGTCTGGTGCGTCGACTGCGTCGACTGCGGCGACTGCGAAAGGATGCGTCGTTTGATTTGTTGACTTTCCAGAAAGTTGGATGTGGACTAAGGATGGCGGATTTTGTATATCGAAACTATCGAGAGCATTTTTATTGGAATGGTCAGAGTATGAAACGAGATGCAGAAAATGTTACTTAATTTGTGTCTAACAAGAACGGTAACTCGTCTTATGAAGAAAGGTGGTAGTTTTTTCAAGTTTTTGAACACGTTTTTTGAAGTCGAGCCCACGTTGCAATGCAAAAAACTGACGCGCGACTTCCTTCATGCTTTCACTCTGCAAAAACCGTGTTCAACGCTAAATAAAGTTGTTTCAACATGAAATTTGGACAGACGATTTCATAGACAAATGCAAGTAATGCAAAGGAAAGTTCAAGATGGGGCGTACCAGAGCTACATTTTCGTTAGTGACCCTAATAACGGCTGCGAAGGAGACTATATTTTCGTATATAGCTAGCAAGTCCAGTCCAGCACGCATTTCCAATATTCGAACTCATTATAAATTCGACGCAGTCTGACGTAGCACATTGGTGACGCTTGCTGTGAGTTGACGCACTGTGACGTCACATGCGGCAGATTGTTGCTTGTCGATTGCTGCGACCTAATTTTGATTAATTTTCGTTCAAACGATTTACGTACCACAATTCTTGAGTGCATTTTTTCTCTATATGTAATGTTTTGTGTTTTTGGACATGAAAGATCATAAATACTCGATAAATCTGGGGCCGTGAACAGGTCAAGGCCGCAGGCGACGCACCATGATCTATCGCATTCCAAATTTGGAATGAAAAAGTCATTTGAACGAGCCAATCAAATACCGTTTTAATTTGGCGCTACGTGCCCAAAAAATATCGGCATTGAACATTTCCTTTGCACCTGAATTGTGAGCGAGGGGAATTTTTATCTGTCCAGAATTGCCTGCGAAAAATGGTACGTAAAGTTCTTTTTTTCAGTCTGATATCAGATTTAGCAAATGCCTGTAATTTATGCTAGGAAGCCGGCGTGGCCTTGATCTGATCAAAAAGTTTCGGGGCTTCGAATCTCCCAGCTGGGTGTGCACTTTAGGCTCAAGTCTTTATATTGTTCTGGGACAGTTTCTCTATGTTTATTTCAATAAAACTTAAATTTAAGCAACTTGGATATAAGCGCTATGGTTTTATGAAACTAAGGGAGAGACGGATCGCTTCACCCAGTAGAATTTTGGGATTTTTCCTTGCTGCTACGTACATATTTTGCTTTAATATGTCCATACAACTCCGGTCCGAAATGTAGAATCTCTAATCACGGCACCGCACGAGGTCTTTCCAAGGTCACGTGTAGGAAGAATGAAGAGTACCAAATCATGATAAAGGAAACAAAACATAGCCATTGTGAAGCATTGTAGATTTTCCGCCTTTGCGAATCTGCAGGGCGCAGTCTAGCCTTCATGTTAATTGTGAAATATTTCTTTCACTTGTAACTTCAAGCTCGCGTGATGATGAGTCATGGTTGTTTTTAGTGTTTGAACGTTCTGGAAGGTTCAGATTAAAAAGTTTGATTGAAAAAAGCATAATTCGGATAAATTTATGTAAGGTAGTTAGAACAGTTTAGTGACTGGTCTCTCTATTCACTTTTGTAGGGCACCTTTCCCACTCCTTTGATAAGCCTATTAAATGCAGTGTTATGATTATCTAGACATATTGTTGGTTTTCACGTGACGTCACTAAAATTCAAACTACAAAACTATCCATCCCGCTGAGATTTTACTTTGATGATGTATTAGGGCAGCTGAAAACTAATTTTGATACAAATTTTCGCTTCAAAAGGGTTCTTTGTTTTGTGATAGAGTATGCTTGAATTTCTAAGCTATTGTGTGACGAGGCATTTTCATGATGGCCGAGAGAGCTGTCTTGTAGGTTAGAAAAGTGATGTATTTCAGGGAATTTTGCTATCTAAACAGTTCATGTATTAGAAAAAGTATTACTTTAATGTTTATAAGTGCCTCGAGGATTAAATTCACGCTTTGTACCAAAACGTGTTGGTTTCCTTCCGCCATGTTGGTGGCCATCCAGGTGGGCACCAGCATTGTCGCCTTCGGACGTTTTTTTTTGTTCAAAGAAGCCAAAGAAAACAAAAAGTAAACACTTTAGATTTCATTTTTCAAAAGACACCAACAAAAAAACTTGTTGGTTGTTATTCCAGTCATCTCTGGGGTTGGGAGAGGTGTGTGTGCGTGGATCAAAAATGGAGCAATTTTCATCATAGAGGACACTGATACAAGGACAGTTGAACCCCACTTTAAGGACACCCAATTATTATGGACAGTTTTCTTTGTTCCCAGAGAAAGCCCTTACATTTTCTTTCAATTCAATCTGCTTAATACGGACACCCGTTGATGTGGACAATAGACACTTTTTTCTTGCCCAATAATGAACACATTCTCATATAAAGTCAACCTTCGCTAATGCGGATACTTTACTAACTGTCCACTGTGTGCTGTGATAAACCTTTCTTTTTTGAAGTTAAAAAAAACCTTCAATTGACACAATGTCGATGTTCCCAGTGCAGTACACCAAATAGGATGACTATTTTTGACATCACCTGACGCAGAGAACGATTTTTGTTTATGCAATGTATAAAAAGCGAATTTTAAGTCGAGTTGTTTGAGTGTTTTTATGGAATTGTCCGCGGAATAACGGCTTGTTGAAGTTTAGAGATGTTTAGTTTGACGATGTCAGTGTCTTGTTTTATTTTCGTAGTATTTTGATAAAATAAAGTTGTTGTTTTTACTTAAATAACCCAGTGTTCTCCCTAGCACATTGGGAAGACCAGGGGTACTCTAACCATGATTTTCAACAGTGTTTGTATGAAGCCTGAGTAATAATAGGGACAGCGACATAAAATCAGTTCTTAAAAGATTCTTTGACAAGCTTCATATTTGTTCCGTACATCGTAGGTTGACCAAGTTCTCCATTTTGACACTCCTTGAAAAGTGAGCACGGGGTTTTTGTTTAATAGTACATGTAAGCTCTTTGATTGGCCCTTGTGCTTCTGGGATGATTTCAAGATTACTGCCTTTCAGTAAAACAACAGATTTGAACATGCTCATCAAACAGTAGATCACTTATAATCAATTAATTGTTTCTTCAATTTTGGCGTCCTGGAGAAAGACTCTGCATGAATCGATTAAGATCTTTGTTGAGCATGCTTTGCATGTTGCTAGAATACATTTTTGAACTGTGCGGCTGGTACAGCAGGCTCTGTTGTGAACATTGGTTTATTAATAAACAAACGTTAGCACACAAAAAGCCAGTTTGACTAGAGAAAACAAGATTGACTAGTATAGAAGTTCAGGCTGTGTGTAACTATGATTCTTACCGGTATACATGTATGCTAAGTCTAGTACATTCCAACATGAATTGCTCGTGCACAAGCAAGCCAGTTATTACAACTTTGTGCACGTCATTAGCATTTACAAAGTGGGTAAAATGAATTCACTCTAATGAAAAGTCATTCCTCAATAGTCAGTGGTTTTTAACTGTAGATTGTATCATAAACAAGGAGTTAACATTTGCACAATACCCAAAACAGTCTCAATGATTTGTTTTTACAGGCTGATCAACTGACAGAGGAACAGATTGCTGGTGAGTACATATAATGTGCTACAGCACTTTCCTAATCTTCTCCCCTTGATGGTTTGGTGTGCATTCTGGGGTGGAACTATTCTCATGTGCAATTAATACAGCAAAAGTGCACCAAAAGGGGAGAGGTAAGGACAAAAAAAGGGGAAGGCCAAGGCCCACCTTATGGATAGCCCACCCCATATTTTTTCTTTACTCCTTTTTACCCCTTTAAAAGGTGACCTTTCTTCAAAGTCGCCTATTATGGTTGCCAGAATGGAAAAAATATGTATAGGCAATAGCATGATTTGTAGTGATATTCGGCGTAAATACCATGAGTGATATTTCGAAACTGTTGTACGTAATTTCACGAGCTGTTAGGTGAGTAAAATTTGAGACAGTTTTAAAATATCACGAGTGTTATTTATCTCAAATATCACGAACAAATCATGCTATTAGTTGTTTATACTACTACCTGCAAAGGTTTGTATTTTTCACATGTAGGTATTTCAAGTTAAGCTGAAATACCACTGCTCTAAGCCAATCAAATTGCCGAAATTTCTCACGTAGTAGTTTAAAATAAAAAATAAATAGTCACCTCATTCAATTACAAAAAAGTTTCAAATATTAACAGTCAAAGTGGCTGCCAAGCTATTGTGGCCAAATTTCAGGAGATGCAACTTACAGTTGTAAGAAACACTTAAAAAAATTTATTGCTCGGTTTCATCACTGCCAAAATAGGTTGTGTGGTGACTAAAATGGTTGCAGCTTGGACATAGTTTTGATACTGTACATTTTCTTTGCTTCCTTTGTTTTGTTTTAAAATGACATGGACAGGAGGAAATGTTTTGGAAAAAAATTGCCCTCACTTACAGGCTGTAAATAACCCTCATAAGCACTAGAATGTGTGATTTCCTTTTGCAGAATTCAAAGAGGCATTCTCTCTATTTGACAAGGATGGGGATGGTACGATCACCACAAAAGAGTTGGGTACGGTGATGCGATCTCTTGGACAGAATCCAACAGAAGCAGAACTTCAGGATATGATCAACGAGGTTGATGCTGATGGTGAGTGCATTATTAGAAAATGAGTGCATGTCCAGGCATTTTCCTTCATAATAAAACAGTGCTATCCAGTGGATTCCTTGGGATAAGAATTAGGGAAACGAGTTTTATCATCTAGTGGGTCATGGTTTATCTTGTAGATAGCATCACAAGGCATTATTGGAGTCAGATAAAAGTGAATCACTACACCTAATTGCAATAAGGTTGTCATAGAAAAAAGCAAAAAGCCAAATAGGAATTAATTAGCAGTAAATTATCATTGCTTGCAACATTCACAACACACACGCTTATAGCTGAATATTAATCACGTAATATGAAAGCCAAATCATTTGCATCAGTTTCTTGGTGTCATTCTAATGCAATTCGAGGCTGATTCATCTAGCGGATTTCAAAGGTACTCTAATTACAAACGTACATTGGATAACTACTGAAGAAAAAATGGCTCCATTTTTTTTCAATAAATATAGCCTGGGGTAAATTCCAGGAACGCGATGCGTCTCTTCGTTTAATGCTAAATAGAAAAGCCAGTCTGTATATGGTTTGTAGTGTACGACACTATCAGATCACAATTTTCAAGCAACAAATCAGGGGTGTAGGCAGGACTTTCCATCGCGGAGAGGGTGAGGCGTTCCTCCGCCAGTTCCTCTCCCGCGCCACAAACCAAGCCTCGTTTGTCAGGACCCTTTTGTTACACACATCAGTGTTTCATGTGCGGAATCTTACAGCGCGGAATTACAGAATTATTTCTTGTTATTGTGAATGACTTCTTAAGTAATTGTTAAATTATTAAAATACGCAAATGTAAATCACATGTCTAATTAATTCCAATTTGGTTTTCTGCTTTTTGCTTTTTGCTTTTTTCTATGACAACGTTATCGCAATTAGGTGTATCCAGTGAATAAGCATTTAGGAAACCAATATTGGATTATCCACTGGATAAAGATTTAAGGAGTGGATAGTGTTATCCATCTGGGACCCACTTGATAATATTCTGAAGTAATAGATGTCCCTACCTGTTTCTCAGCCAGGTTTTTGCAACCCTAAAATACATTGTTTACACAAGTTACATGTTGGAACTGACTTCTTCTTGTATTAGGCAATGGCACAATTGACTTTCCAGAGTTTCTGACCATGATGGCACGTAAAATGAAAGACACAGATTCTGAAGAGGAAATCAAGGAAGCTTTCCGTGTGTTTGACAAGGACGGTAATGGCTTCATCAGCGCTGCTGAGTTGCGACATGTTATGACTAACCTGGGTGAGAAACTTACAGATGAAGAAGTAGATGAGATGATCAGAGAAGCTGATGTTGATGGTGATGGACAAGTCAATTATGAGGGTAAGACTATTTCCATAATTGGAGAACAACTGTGACTGTCAATGAATTGTTATGTTGTTGTTGTTGTTGTTGTTGTTGTTGCTGTTCAGCTGTTATTGTTGTACTTTGCATGAAACGGTCACATGGTGCAAAAACTAGATTGAGGTAACTGGGTAACTGATCACCTACCCCTTCCCAAAGTCAACGTTGATGCTCACTTTTCACTAAGGGTAAAATTGTGACACAGGGGAGGGGTAGGTGGTTAGTTACCCAGAAGTCACTTAGCTGTATGGCAAACAATGCTGTAGGACCTTGGAAGAAGAAGGTATCAGCTTTGTAAATGTAATCTCTTTGTTTTTCTTGCCCCACTGCATTGATTGCCATCCATTAAGATTTTTTCCATGTAACCACTTCAAGCCAGGAGCCAATTCTGCTGTTGGCCTCTTAGAAGAGGGGCTATTTACACATGGGCAGATTCATGCTCAGCAAGTAACTATTGTAGGAAGATATTGGACAGGGAAATTTTTGTCAAGTTGATGTTGATTTTGTAGAGTACTTTGAAAATGTTGACAGGAATAATTTTGTAGAGGTCAATCTGGCATTGCTAACAACCCTGCATTCTCATTTTTTCCTTGCAGAATTTGTGAAGATGATGACATCAAAGTAGCTTCACACTTTCAAATCGACTAAGCTGTACAGTAGAGTTCATCAGTCAACCAAAGGGTCACATCTATTTGCTGCTGTGGTTATAGGTGTTGTAGCCATAATACTGGCAGTTATACGACTTGAGCTTATAGCGGACTTGGGGACTTTTAATGACCAGACAGTTTGCATTGCCAACAACTTGACTTGTGTTGTATATTTTAGAAGTGCAGACTCCTGCATTGCTTGTTTGTACGTGTAAATTATTGTTTATTTTATTATTATTTTTTGTTTTGTTACAGCATTAAAGGTTGATTACAGTTGAAAATGACAGTGCTTCACTGTGTAATATTAATTTTTGTAAAATAGTCATTTAATGGCTGTTGTCTTCTGCAAGTTTTATTCATTCTAGCCTGCGTCACATTCAGAAATTAATCTGGTTAAGTCTGTCTGTGAAAAAGTGCCAAAATCCTTGTTCCTTGTTCTGGGCCCCACCTGTGTACCAGGATTTTAGTACACACCAAGGATTTGCCAATGTAATGACTGGTGTAAGATTACATGTGTGATGCAGGCTAGATAAATAAAATCCCCACTGCAAGCAAATTCTCTTGCCACCCCAAGAGGTTTGTCCTACATGTATATACACAAATAGACTCTGGTACAGCCCTGAGTAAAATCCTGGTAAGTAATATCTGCTAAACAGGGCCAATATTTTTCTTCTGGGCCCCCCAACAGACACAATTTACTGGAAATATCTTTCGAGTTTTCCTTCAATCTGATTGCCATATCGACAATGGCTTTTTTAAACAGGCCCATTGATCATGGTGTTGAACAAGGATTTTGGTGCTGTTTTGCAGATGGACTTGGCTATCTTTGGTGCAAGCTAGGTTCACATGATGGTTAACTGACTTGTCATAGTAGTCCTTGTTTGGTCGGGGAAGGGTAGTCGGTAGATGAGAGTCTAAGCCTCCTAGCTTCCACTGCCTTTCCTTGGCTTCCTCTCTGTAGCCGTCTTTCGACTGCTGAATGTTTTAATAAAAGCGCTGATGGTTAATTTCCCCCAGTTCCCACCCTCTTAGAAGTCCCACCTCCCGCACTCCATCTGCCTGCCCCTAGTCTCCCAACTGCCTGTCCTGCCCTACTTGCTTGGTGACAATTATTTAAATTATTGTGCCTAGCCTTGACTTCAAAGTGCAAAAAGGGTTGAAGGGGTACCACAATTTAATAGTTAGGGTACTTAAGCCAATGCAGTTCCTCTCTTCTCTGCAGACTCGGCTCCCACTGGATATCCCAATAAAAATAAAATAAAAGAAAAAAACGCAATATATCAAAGAAAAGAAAGCCCGCGGAGGTCGATGAGGATGCAACGTGTCCCGCGCGCTTCCTTTTTCCTTTCTCCTTAGCCTCCAAATAACACCAGAATGGGCTACTGACAACACAAAGACGCCTCTGAGAAGGAGAGCTGCAGTTTACAAGAAATGGAAGGACGATGCCCCGTACCTAGCCTGTGCCAAGCGTTCAGGATAGTGGAGAGCGGTGCGAAGTAAAGAAAGCGATGAAAAGTAGAGGGGTAGGCGCTCATTTTTACTTCGCATCGCTCCCCACTATCTGGACGCCTGGAACGGGCTACCCGTGCCAGGGTGAATTTGAAATAGACAACCACACTTAACTGCACAAGCACTGTCCAGTGTCCGAGGACTACGTCTCCTGTCGAAGTGGGTTCTTTTATAACGTCCCGCAATTCCAAGTCTTTCCCTACATTTGCGTTTTCTGAATCTTAGCTTTTCAAAGTTTTCATGCTAGCAAAACACATCCAGCTTCGTTTCCACGCGTGCTAGCATGTTCACGGGTATAGTCAGTCTATACCCGCCTATACAGTCTTATAGTCTAGTCTGGTATAGTGTCTGATTGACTGCAAGCTGTAGCGTGAGAGAAGCTCGCGCGAAACCGGACAAGCTAAGTCACAGAAAATAATAAAATGTGATAATCAAAAAAGGAAAAAAATAAATGTGCTTGAGGGCACTCTGCACCATGGTAATAACAACGGATTTTGATGATAATGAAAATAACAACAAAAACCTGTTTTGCGCGCGCGCGCGAACGGGCAATGAAGCATGGGAATGATATCCAGGCTTTCGCGGCCACTGGGTAATCACAAAATGGCGGACGTTTCTATCTAGATGAGATCTCTTTCAGGACTGACTCTTCCTACAGATAATTTTACATCAGGCGTAAGTCTGCAGAAGTGCATAAGATGTTTGCTCGTGCTGGCCAGCCGGAACTCGTTCGATCGAACCAAAAAGACGTTTACTATCTTGGTTTCTTGAGAGAAGGGATTGGCCAAATTTATCGAAATTTCCAAGGTAAAACGATGTACAAATGGCAATTCACTACTTACTCCAGGGCTATAGTAAAGGAGTCATGAGGATAACAAGTTATATCAGTGGGACTCAGTTTTTATAAGCATCTAAAGAAACTCTTCCAGGACTTTCTCACAAATCAGTCAAATGATCAGCAATATAATCTTGCTTGCGCTGGAAAGGAACCGTCCCCCTCTAAGGATGACGGGTTTTAGAATAGGAGGTTCGGATTTTTCTTCAAAGAAGCCGATCAAAAGATAAAAAATGGAACGCCCCAGATAGCATTTTTTTTAATATTGTTAAAACGTCCTTGCCTGCTTGTTTCTGTCAAAGTTCAAGAAACAATGAATAGATGATGTACATAGCTTTATCATTATTATTGAGTTCTCTAAGAGGATTGCTCACAGAGTGTTTGATTTCTGATACCATTGCTTGATCATCATTATCAATATGGTCCCAGTCGTGCAAAAGAGAGAGCGCTATCCACCAGATAAATCTCTATCCGCTGGATAGTGCAATAGGTTTCCCTAATTATTTCATCAACTGGATAGTGATTTATCATGTGGATAGCGCTATCCAGCTTTTGAACAAGTGGGGCCTGCTCTAATTTTGTGCATATAGGTGATGATAATAGTGAACAAAAATACTAGAACAGATCAACTCTTAAAACAGAATTGATTTTACTTTTAGGCGACCACAATTATTAATTCCTTGTTATTTTTTTAATCAAAATAAAAGGAAGAATTTTATGACTGTGTGTTTGCAAAGAAGCTTTTAGGTCTTTAAGTAATCTCGGTCTAAAGGACTTCCAATGGCATCCTGGTTGCATATCAAAGTGAGAGGCTTAAGTATTCATAGTAGGTGATATCTTCACCATAATATGGTAAGAAGATAGCTTAGTTTAGGAGGTGCTTTTACAGTCAAGAAGAAGAAGAAGAAAAAATCACTACATAAGTTTTTGATGTTCTTGAAGAATGTCATTGCAGTGTTAATAGTTTTGATGTTTTTTCTAAGGTCCGTTCTCATGGATAAAGTGGAAGGCTGAACTTGAGTTACTGGCTGACATCTGTTATTTTGGACTTACTACAATAAGTGGTATGACATCATTTCTGTTTAAGCCTTTTCCTCTCGGCACGGGTATTTTGCAGAATGTCGAACACCAATACTGAGTGACGACTCTGAGTTTTAATAGGAAACTGAGTGAATCAGGTTCGTTTTCGAGTAGTTATACTGGGAAACAGAGCTGAAACTTGATTCGCTTCAGAGTCATTAAGTATTCTGCCTGTGGTGCTTGACATTCTGCAAAATACCTCCTAGGCGAAGTACAATAGTTCCACTGAGGATGATTTGACACTTACATGGCTGTTAACAAAACCTTGTAGTGTTACATGTTACATGTACCATTCAAATGAAAACTTTTTAGCAGAAATTTTGCATGGCACTTTTTTAGGGGCTGGTCGTTTATTACCTGTGAGGGGGGGCCGGCCATTTTGCTCTGGGGTCATTTCCAAAATCTTGATTCGTAGTTACTAAAACATGGAATGACCTAAAACCACCTAAAACCACCTAAAACCATCTACAACCACCTAAAACCACCTACAACCACCTCAAAAAATTCAGCAACCACCTACAACCATCTACAACCACCTCAAAAACATCTACAACCACCATGTTCCATGTTTTAGTGACTATGAATCTTGATTGTTTTGGGGGGCTCATTTTCAGAAAAGGAAGCTTTACCTGAGGGATCATTTTATTGGAAGTGGTATAAAGAAATATTTTCCTGTTATATAAGCAAAGAAGTCAATGTAAGGTATTATATTAACTTTTCAGAAAGCTGAAACTACAGCGAAAGACTAGCCTGCAAGATCCAGTCATTACATCCCTAGAGCATGTTTTTTTAAATGAATAACCACACAGACATGGACAAATTTCCATACTTAAGGTTTTTGGGAGATAGATAAATACATGGTCAGTGAATTCACCTAATAATTTTTGGAGCCGACGGTGATTCATCTGTCTAGTCTGTTCAGTTCAAAGCTGTTAAGAATACAACTTGTCAAGTAAGAGTAAATACATGTTAATAGTGCTAAGTTTTTCATGCAAATTGAGTAATATAAAACACCGATCTTTTAACACTACTGTAAATCTTAAGCATGTGGTGAACTGCGACTCAATTTCTAGCTAAACTATTCGGATCGGGGGTCATTTTCGCGATATGTCAACTTTATGGGGGTCATTTTCAAAAAACTAGGATGAAGTGGGGGGTCGATTTGAAAGTCGTCCAAGCTTTCTCAAAATGGCCGCCCCTCACAAGTAATACAATTGTAAATTACCAGCCCCTTGGCGTGTGAATTGTTTTACATTGGCCACTGCAGGAAGAAAAGGTTCATTTTCATCCTTAAAAACAAAAGAAAGGCACTTTGAAAATGGTAGGCCATCTCCATTGTCAGCTTTTTCGCCCATGCAGTGGTACATGTAATGGACTACTGTTTCTTTCTTGTAACCACTCAAGTATACATTGAAGCAAGCAGTAATTTCATCTTTAGATAAAAGATTGGTAACATGATATTAAGTCATTGAAGGTGTTACATAAAATAGTTTTCAATGAATTCCATTTGTTAAAATAAGTTTGTCACTGCCATTCTGTCATTGTTAACAATATAATAATATTGTATTGTTACTTTCAATCCTCCTTGTATAATCACCTCTTGTAAGCAACCGCTTCTCAAATTTTTGAAGCACTGTAGTTGAAACCTCTTGTATTGTAATCCACTGGTCACCTCTGGATTTAAGCAATCATTAAATCTTTGCATTATTACACTGTAAGTGGTTGCTTATAGGAGGTTTACAAACCTTACAGTATTGTTAGTAATTCAATAGACATAAGTGATTGTTGATCATTTTCCCTTTTAGGATTTCAAACTCTTGGTGAAGAATACTGCAACATTGTTCAGGTTGATCAAACCAGAACATGGGTCCCTTCCACCATGGTAAGCTGAAGTATATATCACCTTGATTGAATAATCAATAATGAAATCTCTAATAAAGTATTCTCTGGTTTCGGTGCTCTTTTAATTAATTTTCTATGCTAGGCTGATGTTTTTTAACCATGTATAAATAAAGTTATCATTCATTCCTTCATAATATGAATTCACAACAACCAACAATTGTACCACACACATACATTGTAGCCTTAAAAATGATGGCTTTAAACATAATTAAATGAAGGTAATATATAGATTTAGCCAGGGCTAAAAGCGAAGCTCTGGTTAATAATACTTCTAAACAAAAATGTTAAACGCAGATGACAATGAAAATGGCTTCAAAACTATTTTTTTTTAATTAGCAAAAACTGACAAATTACACATGCAGCACACGTTTTCTTCTAATTTAATAGCAAAAAGCAAATTTGCATGGAGGAATTGTTGCATGTGTTTACCCAATATTTTGTTTCCTGTGTTCATGTTGGCTTTAATTTTTCACTGCCACTCATTTTCACCTTGCTAGCCACTAGCAATAAAACCTTGAGTTGCATTTGGGTTGCCATACCTGTTGATTGAGTTACTTTTACATTGGTATGCTTGTGGTGCGGATGGACAGTCGTTTGCTCGCTCGCTTGGTGTGCAGTCACGTGATTTCCAAATTTTCCCGCTGGGTAGATTACCACATTTCCTTAGCAATGGAGCTCCACCCTTGCGCAGCACTTTGCGCCGCGCGTAGAACTCCACCTTAAATAACACAGAAAATAGCAAAGGAGGCAGCTGATTGCAATTTTTATTTTATTGAGGTTTTTGAAAACTTTCAGCCTAAGATAAGAAGTTTTCAAAGTTCACTTTTCTTGTTTGTAATGTTTGATAATTATAATGGTTGGGATGAAGCTCATCAGGTATTGTCATTCACAAGTGATTTCTCAAGTTCCATGGCTAATAGGGATACCCAGTTTATTGGCATTAGTAACAAAATTAATTATGAACTACATGTAGACAGCCGTGTCAGTCATCCCCTTTATTAAAGAGGTGGTTACAGTCAAGGCAGGTCAAGTGTAACCCCAAGATTCTATTAATGAATTGATTATTTGAAAAGTGAATCTGTTAGGGGTTCCCGTAAAATTAATAGTGTCAAATTCAAATCAGCATTCCTTCTTGCAAAATGAGCAGTGAATATTTTACGAGAACTTCTCTGTATTATTTTGGTCAGATTGAAAATCTTTGACTGGATTAAATTTCTTAAAAGACATTTACATCAACTGCCTCGCGTGTGAATTCACGGCTCATTACACATGTAACAATGCCGAGATGAATCTGAAATCTACAACTACCAATGGATTCAACTTTTGAATAATAAGTTCATTAATGAAATCTTGGGGGGTAGGCTTCATCTGGGTTGACTGTAAGTACCATATATG